CAATTTCGAAAAATGTACACTTATGACTGGTTTTGTGCTCCAGGGTCACATATAAGAATATGGTGAAGATGTTAACTAATAGATCTCACCATACTTCCCCAGCTGATTAATCACAGTACATTTAGACATAAGAATTTGAATGACAAATTTGTATCGTATTCTGAAATGTTGTAAGTATGCTAATGTGACATTATCTAATTAAATATGCACTAATTTGCATACATTTCCAGCACAGAAATCTGAACATCGGATAAAGTCAGGTTCAAGATTTTGTCCTCGTATTAGAGTTAAAGGTTTTTTAGAGGGGATTTTGGATTTCTCTTTTTATCACTCCATAAATCTGAAAATACTGTCAACAGACAGAAAAACACATTTTCACCGTGTTTTTAGGAGTAAAATGTTGTATAAATCAGTGTGAATGAAATATGAACAAACCTTCAGAATGTAGAGAGGAATAAAACAGTAATGTTTGCCGTTTGTAAGAGAAAAAACTCTAAATATATGGATTGAGATTGAAATGTATAGATGCAAATAGATTAAGCATAAAATGTGTATTTTGGATGTTTTTCTTGACTAGTCTGAAATAGACTGAAATCTCCGAGCTGAGCTGTGTGTGCGTGTGTGCGCGTGCGTGCGTGCGTGCGTTCAGTGATCGTGTGTGTGTGTGTGTTAAGGGTGTTCAGTGAGTGTGTGTGTGTTAAGGGTGTTCAGTGAGTGTGTGTGTGTTACGGGTGTTCAGTGATCATGTGTGTTCAGTGGTCATGTGTGCCGTTGCTCCGCAGGAGGGGAAGAGCATCAAGAGCAGCAGCGGATTCTCTGGGAAGGGCTTTAAGTTCGATGAGACTGAGCATGCGCTGGCTAACGAGAGGAAGAAGCTGCAGAAGGCTGCGTTAGGCCTGCATGACTCTGATGATGAGGATGCGGCTCTGGACGTGAGTCCACACTGATCACAGCTGAGACTAGAGACTGTAAATAAGAGAACAATCTGACAAACTGCTGTATTTACTGATGTTATGAGACTGACTGAAGAACATGATCCGATTCAAGAAACTTCTAGATCAAATACTGAGGAGTTATGATTGCACAACATAAATATTACAACTGTAGTCCAGGGTTATTAAAGTAAACTAAAACCATAGAAAACATTTAGATGGATTAAAAAAAAAATCTAATGTCTGATTATGTGAAAGTGAAGTATCAAACAAAGTCAGTTTACAGATTTATTCAGACTTTCCATCTGTTGGACGTATAACATGTTGAATGTGTAAACATACTCTAATGATTTACTGCATTAATACACATTTCAGCACACTCGTAATAATATTTGAAGTTCTGGCTTTCCCTGGGAATCATGGGAATGATGCTGCTGTTGCCAGAGCCCATGAGCTACAGGAGCGCTGTACTGTTATGATTTATGTAGTTACAGTGTAATAACTGATCCCTGTCGTGTGGCTGCAGATCGACGAGCAGATCGAGAGCATGTTTAACTCTAAGAAGCGTGTGAAGGATCTCTCTGCTCCGGGTGGCTCTGCGGGAGCCGCTGCTGTCGGTGTGAGCGGATCTGTGACCGCTGTGTCCGGTCTGAGCACTCCGTCTGCCGGAAACATCCAGAAACTGGAGATCGCCAAGAAACTGGCCCTCAAGATCCAGGTGCAGAAGAACCTCGGCGCAGAGGCTCAGGTCAGAGAGCGCATCACAGAGCTTTGTGTTTACATGAAGCTTTTAATAAAAAAAGAGTTGATGAGGTTATGCTTTGCCAAAGGTATATTTGATACATGGAAGCTGTGAATTAAATCTAAAAATTAGATTGTCTTTCGTTGATCTCAGGATGTGATGCAGCAGGCCACAAACGCCATCCTGCGCGGCGGGACGATGATCGCGCCCTCCGTCTCGGCCAAGACCATCGCGGAGCAGCAGGCGGAGAAGATCAACGCCAAACTGAACTACACTCCGGTGGAGAAGCTGGAGGAGGAGCGGCAGGCCGCCGAGGCCACGGACACCGTCAAGAGATACGAGGAGGAGCTGGAGATCAACGACTTCCCTCAGGTCAGACGCTACACAGAGTTACACTTCTGACAGACCTCTTAGAATTCAACTCATATGGTTTAAAACGCATGATTTCAGCGTGATAAACATGATAATCAGAACCAAAACAGATGTTTTTAGCAGGTCCGAGCTGTAATGGCGCAGCTCTATTCTGGAAAAGGGGGCGGGGAGCAGCAGCTCATTTGCATTTAAAGAGACAGGCACGAAAAACAGCGTGTTTCTGCTTCCACTCAAGATAGGCATTTTCAAAATGTTATAATAAATGGAGTATTTTGAGCTGAAACTTCACAGACACATTCTGGGAACACCTGAGACTTACATTACATATTGTAAAAAGGGGCATAATATGTCTCCTTTAATATTAGTCAACATGAACTAACAACGAACAAGCATTCATCTTAGTTCATGTTCATTTCAGCATTTACTAATGCATTATTAAAATATAAATTTAACCCTCATAAGCATTCAGAATCTGTGTAGTGTTTTGGCATTGCGGTTCTGTTTGGACTATTTTATAAAATAGTCATAACTTGATATTTCTCAGCTGAGGGGGTGCTTGCACCACACCATTTTCTTTTTTTATAAATTTATTTTTATTATGCAGATTCTTATATAACACTATATACATGTGAAAAACAACACAACCTGTTTTTTTTTTTTTAAACATCCGCAGTAATGAATAAAGTTATGCAAATACGACACCATTTTCAACTTAAATCTTTTATGCGTTTTGTCTAATTATTTACACAACAGTGGATACGTGTGAGTGGGTTTTTTTCTGAAAACGTTTCTGTTTTTAGTACATCGTTGTTGTGCAAACACATCCTAAAACCATAGTGCATCTGATCAGCAGCTTCTCATTAATGAGTCGATGTCAAAAAATGTCACCATGTTATTATCATGTCATTACTGCATTTACTCCCTTTTTATCTATTAAAAAATGAAAGTATTTGAAATGTCAAATTACGCATGAACCACACCAAAAACACTGTGATGCAGAGATTATATATATGTGTGTGTGTGCATGTATATTTTATTTTATTACATTTATAAGAACATAATCTGAGAATTATCCTATGAATTGAATTTATAACTCGGGATTGCTCAGAAACCGCGCAAATTTATGAAATGTACATATTTCTAACTAAACAACAGAAATATTACTCTGAAAAGTTTACAATCGAAATAAATTCATTTTACTTGCATAAACTTTTTATGCTCACATTCATATTTTTTCATGCGTCAACAGGCAACATACTCATGTTTATCGACAAAACTCAGTCCTGAAAGTATGAGATATGGGGAAAATATGTTTTATAAACATTTATTTTGACACTAATATAACTTTATAGACAATTCTACGAAAAGTATTTTTGACACCTAACGGCTCACAACGACCCGAACACGAAACACATTTATTAAAAAAGGTTCTATCTCTTAAAACACAATTGTAAGAAATCAGAAAAATAAATGCGTATTTTGAGGATCTTAAAGCATTTGCAAAGTTGAATTGCCTTACTAAAAACTATGCATTTTTAAGAATTCTTTTTAAATGCATCTCTTCTGGAAACATGAACTAATAATGCTAACAAATGCTGTAACAGATGCATTGCTCATTATTAATGCACCAGCTAATGTTTAACTAATAGTATCTTACTGTAAAGTGATGGACTTCTTTCTGAAGAAGGTTGTTGTGAATCCTGACGTGTGTGACTGGACATAATCACATTTATCACACAGCCAAATACATAAACACATGGACATAAACAAGAGATTGGAGTTTAATCGACTTCATTGCAGCATGTTTCGAGCTGAACTCTGACTGCTGAAGAGCGTAAATACTTCCGGCTAACAGCTTATAGCCTTTGGTTGTAGATGTGGCTTTTCCAAGATAGTTTGCACTTTTAACTTCATGAAAGCTTGTCACTGATGTCGATGTGTTGAGCAGACGCTTTTCAGCGTGCGTGTGTTTATCGGTCTTTGGCTTTGCAGACGGCGAGGTGGAAGGTGACGTCTAAGGAGGCTCTTCAGCGCATCGGCGAGTATTCAGAGGCAGCCATCACGATCCGAGGAACATATTTTCCGCCGGGCAAAGAGCCCAAAGAGGGAGAGCGCAAGATCTACCTGGCCATCGAGAGTAAGTGTGCTCGCCGGATCCTCAGAGTCACTGAGCGAACCGCGTCTGAGTGAATGATCCTGAATCAGTCTGTTGTTGTCAGGTGCCAATGAGCTGGCTGTGCAGAAGGCCAAAGCAGAAATCACACGGCTGATCAAAGAGGAGCTGATCCGTCTGGTGAGTTCTTCTGTCTGCCTGATTCTCCTCCGCTTGACCGCTGATCAGTCTCACACTGCACATTCACTGACTGAACCATCTTTTTCTCTGCTTTCAGCAAAACTCATACCAGCCCACCAGCAAAAGCAGATACAAGGTTTTGTAGCCGAAGACCGAGGACAGACGACCGCTGGCGTTTCTTTCTTAATCCCACAATGCTTTCTGTTATGTGAGCGGATCAAACACCAGATTCACTGATCTGGACGCTTTTACCTTATTCTGATTTCTTGTAGTTTGCATCAGTCACCTTTAATATTTTAGAAAGTTCCATGTAATTGGACAGTGAACTTCATTTGGAAATAAAGTGTTTTTTCCTCCATCCGTATGTATCTGTAATATCACTTGCGTCATCTCAAGCTTTTACTTTCCCCGTTGTGATTTGCAGCAAGAAACAACTATAGAGCTTTCAGATATTTTTGAAGGAATCGTTCAGCCACAAAATAAAAATTCCCGTTTCAAATCTTTACTGGAGATATTTGCATATCGGCCTTATTTTTAATGTAATGTGATATTACTGATTAACTGCTATTATATTTATTTTCATAGTCATAAACACTGATTTGCAGCGCAGTCTTACCTTTAACTGCACTTTGTTATTCTTGTTATTTACCTGTTAAACAGAAGAAAATAAGGTGTATCTATAAACATGAGGCGTTGTGATTGGCTGAGCTTGATGATGTCACCTGTCATTCAAAACGGCAGCCCGCCCGCAGGAGTCTCAGCTCTGTGATTGGTCCATCCTGAGCAGCGCTGAGTAAAGTAACAGCTGTCAGCAGCGGCTCCGCATCAGTCTGAACAATGATGTGCGTCTCAATAACGACGCAGTCGGACAGACAGACGCGTTTAAACCGATTTGGGAGGAAAGAGTGACGAGTTAAAGTAAGAATGACGTGTTATTTAGATCCATCGTGTCAGAAGAACAGCTCTCCAACGCTGTCAATGCAGCTGCGCGCAGCACTCAGTGCGCATGCGCGTTATCCTTTGAGTTCTTAATATTTAATGTCAATGGCTGACTCTGATTTCTAAAGCATCTCCTAAAATTGTGAAAGAAGATTTTACACGTTTTCTGAACATCGAGGTGAACGTCAATCTCTTGTGTTTTATTCGATGAGCTTCGGTCAGAATTCATCTGTAGCACCAAAATGGGACTAAAATGTCACGTTTAACCCTTTCCGCTCCAGTGTCGACATTAAAGCGAGGTACAGTCACTGATCATCTCTGAAAACATGATGTTTCTGTCTGTGTGCATGGACTGTAATGTGTTTTCAAGCGTATTGTTTCCTTTGTCAGCCTGTGATTAGTTAGAGACAGAACTGAAGGGGTTTTGTCATGTGCACTAGTGACAGCTGTGTGTTTATAATGTTAATGTCACAGTTAATGCTATGCATGCTAAAGAAGCCCTGACTGATGCACGATCAGACTTTATGAAATATTATAAGAGCTTCTGAAACAGGATCTGCATACATTCTCACACACACACTCTCTCACACACACACTCTCACACACTCACTCTCTCACACACACACTCACTCTCACACACACTCACTCACACACACACTCTCTCACACACACACTCTCACACACTCACTCTCTCACACACACACTCACTCTCACACACACTCACTCACACACACACTCTCTCACACACACACTCTCACACACTCACTCTCTCACACACACACTCACTCTCACACACACTCACTCACACACACACTCTCTCACACACACACTCTCACACACTCACTCTCTCACACACACACTCACTCTCACACACACTCACTCACACACACACTCTCTCACACACACACTCTCACACACTCACTCTCTCACACACACACTCACTCTCACACACACTCACTCACACACACACTCTCTCACACACACACTCTCACACACTCACTCTCTCACACACACACTCACTCTCACACACACTCACTCACACACACACTCTCTCACACACACACTCTCACACACTCACTCTCTCACACACACACTCACTCTCACACACACTCACTCACACACACACTCTCTCACACACACACTCTCACACACTCACTCTCTCACACACACACTCACTCTCACACACACTCACTCACACACACACTCTCTCACACACACACTCTCACACACTCACTCTCTCACACACACACTCACTCTCACACACACACACACTCTCTCTCACACACACACACACTCTCTCATGCATGCACACACACACAATATTTCATGAAGAGCTCCAGCTGCGGAGTTTAACACCGAAAACTTGAAGATCACATGAAATGAGTTCAGTCCATGACTGTGAGCTTGATGATGATGATGATGATGATGATTATTCACTCTAAGGCAGGACACTGCAGGTGAACAGAGTAGCACATTTAACTAACAGATCTCACCATACTCTCCACAGCTGATTAATCACTGTAACTGCTTAGTATTACAGCTTTCTGAAATTTAGTTTGAATATGCAAATGTGACATTATCTAATTAAATATGCACACATTTGCATACACAACAGAAATCTAAACATAAGATAAAGTCAGGATCGTAATTCTTGTTTTGTTGACGTACTAAAGGTTTTTCTAGAGGGGATTTTGGATTTCTCTTTTTATCTCCATAAATCAGAAAATACTGTCAACAGACAGGAAACAAACACATTTTCACCATGTTTTAGGAGTAAAATGATGTATAAATCAGTGTAAATGATACAGTGGGTCTAGAAAAGAATCAGCTTCCTTTAAAATAATCACATGTTGTTGCTTTGCAGTCTGAAATGAAGAAATGAAGTCAGTAGAGACAAATCCCAACAGACTAAAGGCTGTAATTAAAGCAAAAGCTGCTTCAACAGAATACGGACACAAGCAGCTGATCCTCAATTATTCTGTTTTTTATTTGTTTTTCTGACATGTTGGTGTTTTATCTTTCACTTGGATGTAAATACAGCTGGATAAAACAAAAACTGCATCCGTCTTCATTTCAGACTGCAAAGCAACAACATGTGATTATTTTAAAGAGGGCTGATTCTTTTCTAGACCCACTGACTGTAAAAAAAATAAAAATAAAAAAAAGGCTGAAGGGGTTTTGTCATCTTTATCCCCTTTCTCACATGCATCTCTCTCCTGGCGTCTGTCAGCAGAAGATGATGCGCCAGGTGTCCAGCAGCAGCGATTACTGCGTCGACAGCAGGCCGTCGTGTTTAGCCGAGGACGGGAGACTCTCGCCGAGCCACTTTGATTTGTGCCCCACCAAGTTCTATCAGTCCTTCCCTCCTCAGCGCTCACGGCAGATGTGCTTCGCTTACCTGCCGCCTCCAGCCGCCGCCGTCCTCAAACCCACACCGTGCCAGAGGCAGGACTGCCACGAGGAGCCGCCGCTGTCCCCGGGGCCCGCGGTTGCTCAGGGCAATGACAAGAGTGGGGACTCCAAGAAGAAGAGTGCGTCAGGGAGGTCTGGTAAACGCGGGCGTCCGGCGGGCACCACCAAATCAGCCGGATACAGAACCAGCACAGGCAGACCTCTGGGCACCACCAAGGCCGCCGGCTTCAAGACCAGTCCGGGGCGGCCGCTGGGCACCACCAAAGCTGCGGGGTATAAAGTGAGTCCCGGTCGCCCGCCGGGGAGCATCAGGAGCCAGTCCCGCCTGAGCAAACTGAGCTACAGCGCCTGCAGCGGAGCCGCGTTTCCCTACAGCATCATGTACAAACCTGGAGCCTGTGACGCTGCGCTGAAGGAGGAGACGACCGCAGAGTAACCTCACCCTTCATTTGTGATATTACATTAAAGGAGTAGTTCAGCCAAAATTAAACTGTGCTCACCCTCAGATCATCACAGATGTGGATGAGTTTGTTTCTTCATCAGGTTTGTAGAAATGTAGCACTGCATCAGTGTCTCAGACGTCATGCTCCCGGAACTGCTTCTGTGTACAACAGTGAGCGCAAGCTACATTAAAGTGATTATTACCTTTTGAATATGGATATTTTTCTTACAAAAACGCATCGATTCGCAACAGAAGGCCTTTGTTCACCCCCCGGAGCCGTGTGAGACACATTTTTAATGGATGGGCGCTTTTTATTGAACTTCTTTTGGACTGAAGCAATGCAACTCCCACTGAGTGCCATTAAACAGCTTTCTGTCTTCTGTGTGTAACACAAAATGCTGAATTCACATCATGTTGGAAAGATCGTATTTACATGTTGATCACACACAAACGCCACCACCGTGTTGTAATTACAAGTGGGAAAAGAGTAACTTCCTCTAATCCTTTAATTCAGGATTTGTTGAATTGAATGAAATCGTTATTTTTCAAATTTACAATTAAACTCAAAAATCTAAGTCACACGTACAAAACAATAGTATTGAACAATTACAACAAAATATATAACGATTCACTTTACAGCACCTTCATTGAATAAAAACAGCAAAAAAACACACACACATTCTTTATTCATTTAGTCGAAGTACAGCTTAAAAAACTCACAGATTTTTTTGTAGAAAAGGTACATTAACATCTTGCTCTGACCAAAGTGAAATGAACGCTCCTGACATCATAATTATAAAAATATGAACTTCCCAGGAGGATTGAACGCACCAATATTACCTACTTTTACGAGGCCCTCATTTGAGCTTTTTGGAGCTTGATCAGAAAGAGAGCAGCGTGAACTTTCTGCCAAACATCTACTTTTGTGTCACACCAAAGAACGTTCTGAACAATGGTGACAGGATATTCATTTTTCTGTGAATTAACTCTTTAATGTTTGCTAATGTATTTGGGTCAGTGTTTTCCATCAGTGTATTTTTGTTAGTGTTTGGCTGCGTTTCATTGGGCTACATGTTTTTGCGAAGCCTTGGATTGTGTTGTTTTCATGAATCATGTCTGTTTTTTTTTTCTTCCTTGTCTAGAACGCAAAAAATGCTGTTACAAGCCCCGCAGTTCCTCCTCAGCGGCTTCCCCGTACGAAACCAAAAAACCCCTCCGCCGATCAGTGTCATGCCATCGGAGGCCTTTTCCCCAGCGGCCGTGTGTCTAGACGGCGGTCAGTCGAGAAACGCTCTGCCGGTACCCATCCACAGCGCTCTGCCATCATACTCCTGAACTCCTGCACGCGTCTGTCACACACACACACACGTGATCTCTGTCACACACATGATCTCTGTCACACAAACAAACATAATCTGTCACACACGTGATCTCTGTCACACATGATCTCTGTCACACACACACACACACACACACACGTGATCTCCGTCACACACATGATCTCCATCACACAAGCGACCTCTGTCACACACACACACACACACACACATGATCTCTGTCACACACACACACACACACAAGTGATCTCCGTCACACACATGATCTCCATCACACACACATGTGCTCTCTGTCACACACACACACACGTGATCTCCGTCACACACATGATCTCCATCACACACACATGTGCTCTCTGTCACACACACACACACGTGATCTCCGTCACACACATGATCTCCATCACACACACATGTGCTCTCTGTCACACACACACACACGTGATCTCCGTCACACACATGATCTCCATCACACACACATGTGCTCTCTGTCACACACACACACACGTGATCTCCGTCACACACACGTTATATCTGTCACACACATGATCGCCGTCACACACACATAAACACGTGATCTCTCTCACACACACACACACGCACGGGATCTCCGTCACACACATGATCTCCATCACGCACACATGTGATCTCTGTCACACACACACACGTGATCTCCGTCACACACACGCATGATCTCCGTCACACACACACGTGATCTCCGTCACACACACGTGATATCTGTCACACACATGATCGCCGTCACACACACATAAACACGTGATCTCTGTCACACACGTGATCTCTCTCACACATGATCTCCATCACGCACACATGTGATCTCTGTCACACACACACACGTGATCTCCGTCACACACACGCATGATCTCCGTCACACACACACGTGATCTCCGTCACACACACGTGATATCTGTCACACACATGATCGCCGTCACACACACATAAACACGTGATCTCTGTCACACACGTGATCTCTCTCACACACACATGATCTCCATCACACACGATTTCCATCACACACACACACACACACACGTGATCTCCGTCACACACCTGATCTCCATCACACACACGTGATCTCTGTCACACACGTGATCTCCGTCACACACACGTGATATCCGTCACACACGCGTGATCTCCGTCACACACATGATCTCCATCACACACACGTGATCTCCGTCACACACACGTGATATCTGTCACACACCTGATCTCTGTCACACACATGATCTCCATCACACACACGTGATCTCTGTCACACACGCGTGATCTCCGTCACACATGTGATATCTGTCACACATGATCTACGTCACACACACACACGTGATATCTGTCACACATGATCTCCCTCACACACACACACACGTGATCTCTGTCACACACACACACACGCGTGATCTCTGCCACACACGCGTGATCTCCGTCACACACACACAGACGCGTGATCTCTGCCACACACGCGTGATATCTGTCACACACTTGATCTCCGTCACACAGATCACTGAGCTCTTCTGACTGCGGTGGGCCGTTTGGCCGTTTCTCCACTGAGGTTGGTGTTTTTCAGCTGTAAATACGTCTCTAGCACTCTGTTATCACTCTGAATGTCCATTGCATGTCATGTTGGGTTGTTAGTGGGCTCGTTTCTTAAGCTTGATTTACATAGTGACACGATAATGAAGATGACTTAAAACGAGTGCAATAGTTTCATTGAAATGTGTTTCTCCCATTCCAGCACTCCACCAAAGAACTCCAGCAGCTCTCTATAGCGTGTGCATGTTCAGTGGGTCCGTGACTGGAGATATGATGCAAACATGACACACGCTTTTTAATTACACACATCAATTACAACACGTCTTGTAATAGTTCCTTTTGTATTGTATTAATTATTCTGACTCTGATGATTATTGTTGGTGTGGGAATACTGTCAGCATCTTGTGAAGAAGTGATGTAAAAATCTTCATATTGGTTTAATATCACGATGATTGAGATGAGTAGTACGTAGCCTGCAGGTAGCAGTGTTTGGCATTAAGGACAGGTTTATGTTCAATATCTGTTACATTCATATAATCAGTGACATGGGCTTTTATTTTTTCCTCATTTATTTACTTTGTAATACAGTTACAATATGAATATTTACATGTTTGTGTATGTTTTATTAAAATATAACTACATCAAGGGAGTCTTATTGCGGTTTATTTCATTCTACACCATTAAAATAACCGGATATCCATTTAATTTTATTTTACTTTAATGGTTTTAAAGTAGCGTACAATGTAAACAATAGTAGGCTTACATATGTAAAGATAAATGTAAACAACACAGGAATAGCCCATATTTCACAAATAATCACAGAAAAATACCAAACTGACGGAGAAAAGTAACAGGAACCTTCTGCGGACGGACCAATCACAGTGGCCTGTGTTTAACTGCATTATTAATTATATTTAATTAGGGGTTATTCTTTCACAGGCCAGGAAGGAGTTTCTCACTTCTGAGGTTTGTGTTCAAATTTTAACACACAATCGTCCTGAGTGCTGCTAAATATGGGCCGTCAAATCGAGCTGTTTACGTTCGAGTTGCGTGACGTCGTAGCTGCGCCGCGCTGCGTGTCACGTCACTCGCGTGAACCGGAAGCCGAATCTTTCCTCTCGTGTCCGTTGAAAGAAAACATCAACATCATAATCATCAAACATCAGATCATCGCGCTGAGCTGTCTGTCCGTTAATGGCGGCAAAATGGTCCCAGTACCGGACAGATTCCGCAGTGTGGCGATCTGGCTGTTAATCGCCGGGACCGTGCATCTGTCACACGGAGGTAACGTATAAACACTCAGAAGCAGCGGCGCTCGGCGCTCGTGAGGGATGTGAGCGCTGATCTGACGGCTCTTTCGGTCTTTCCAGTTGTAGCGGAGCTCCCTGATCCGGCGGATCTGCCGCAGAGGCGCTTCCGGACGGCGGAGATGGCCGACGCGGTGATGGGAGCCCCTCAGTCCGCGGGGCTGGAGCCGCTGCAGGGGGAAGCGTGTGTCGGCGGCCGCTGTGAGGAGAGCAGCCCGTCCGAAGCGCTGCTGTCCGCCGTCCTTCACAGCGACTCCGGCGAGACCAAGAGCCAGAACTTCACCGAGCCCGCCAAGACCTACAAAGTCAGCTGCGACCGGAGGAACGTCACGGGGATCGAGCTCTTCACGGTTCAGCTGCTCAACGCGTCTCAGGTACCACGGTGTTACTGGGGTAAAACCACACTGACCTACACTACCGCTCGAAGCTCTGGACTGATATTAATAAATTAGTCTCTTCTGCTCACCAAGGCAAAACACAGAAACATTATTACAGTGTCAAGCTGTTCTCTATGTGAATATCTGTTAAACTGTAATGTATTTCTGTGATGCGCAGCTGTATTTCCAGCATCATTACTCCAGTCTTCAGTGTCACATGATCTTCAGAAATCATTCTAATATGCTGATTTCTGATTATTATCAATGTTGAAAACAGTTGTGCTGCACAATATCTTTGTGGAAACCGTGATACATTTTATTTTTCAGGATTCATAGATGAACAGAAAGTTCAGAAGAACAGCATTTATTTGAAATAGAAATCTTTTGTGACACTTTTGAACAATTTAATGCGTCCTTGATGAAAAAAGTATTATTGTTATTTTGTGAAAATCACACTTAGCCCAAACTTTTGAATGATAATCACTGATAATAATCAGAAATCAGCCAATCAGCATATTAGAATGATTTCTGAAGATCATGTGACACTGAAGACTGGAGTAATGATGCTGAAAATACAGCTGCGCATCACAGAAATACATTACAGTTTAACAGAGATTCACATAGAAAACAGCTGTTTTAATTTATAATAATATTTTACTGTATTTTTGATCAAATAAATGCAGTCTTGATGAGCAGAAGAGACTTCTTATTCCAAATCCTAATTATTCCAAACTTTTGGCTGGTAGTGTACTGTGTACTAAATACTATAGTGTATGTACAGTGTAACCTTGTGCTGCTGTTTCATAGTTTAGTTTGTGAAAACCGACGTATTATATGTAAAGAAAGAGATCGTGCAGTTATACAGTTCAGTGATTGTTCTTCAGAATATCCGAGAACGAGTTTCATTCATGTGGTTATTAGTGGAGTAACCAGTAAAGTCTCAGTGAGATGGATGTAGAATCACATCTGTTCCTCCTTATTGTGAAGAACAGTGAGGGGCGGGGCTTGGTTCTGTGCATCGGTTGTTGATTGGATGTTGAGATGTGGGCGTGGCTTTCAGCTCAGAAGGTTTTGATTAAACGTTACGAGATCAAAACATTTTTTAAACACATCCACAGATGAATTGCTCACAGTAAGATCTGTGACATGCATTTAGGGTGAATTCTGGTTTCATGCTGACTGTATCATTTCTCCGCAGGACCTGATGGAGCTCCTGAATGCCAACAGCACCGAATGCTCATTGGTTCTCTTTTATACCACATGGTGTCAGTTTTCGGCAAGCCTCGCCCCGCACTTCAACGCCTTGCCGCGAGTCTTTCCCAGCATGCACTTCCTGGCGCTCGACGCGTCCCAGCACAGCAGGTTGATCAGTGATGTTCCCTCATCGCAGTCCGGCTCGTTGAGGATGCTTCTGTGTTCATCAGCTGCGTTTCTCTCTCGCTCTTTCCACAGTCTCTCCACGCGCTTCGGCACGGTGGCCGTCCCTAATATACTCTTGTTTCAAGGAGCCAAACCCATGGCCAGGTTCAACCAGACAGACAGAACGCTGGAAACTCTGACATCTTTCATCACAAACCAGACAGGTGTGGCTCTCATTATTTAGCCTGATCGGTTCCTTCAGAAACGCCGCTCGTGTTAGGCAGTGCAGGTGATGCATATCCAGTGTATGCACTACATGGTGACTGTGTTATTTTCCCTCCGTTCTCTAGGCTTTGAAGCAAGTCCAGATCAGACCGTACGGGACGAAGACCGTGTCGGACCTCTGCCCTCGGTTCCCGTCAAAAGCATCGACTGGCTCTTTGTGTTTTCGGTCCTGTTCATATCCGGCTTCACTCTGTATGCCATCCTCTGCTCAGACAGCGTTCGCTGGCTTGTTCCAGGACCAGACCACGAGCATCAGGACTAGAGTCTGCTGCGGCTTCTCCTCTGGGATCTGAGTGTACATACTTGTGGAATAAATAAGAATCTGCTTGTGTTGTTGTGTACTTGTTTAGTTCTGTTCTGGTAAAAGCAAAAAGCAAAAGAAACTTAGAATGCAAAGCTTCTGTCTGAGATACTTGAACACCACTCACCGAATGAAACCATGTGACAGTAGTTGGCGTACTTCTGTTTACTCATACTAGTAAGTAGCGCACTAGCACTCCATTGAGAACACAGCCCAGGACGGGTTGGTAAAGTAACTGAAGGATGCATCCAATCACCCACAATCCTTTGCACACACTGCAATTCATGAAAAAGAGCT